AATACAAAACACACTATAATATTATATTTATATACATTTGTTATATATTTTTCTGGTGACAATTGATTGCAATTCTCTCTCTCTCTCTCCAGTAGCTGGTCGTGTAATGCGAGCGCTGACCTGACACTCGTCGCGCAGTTGGCCACCGGACACAACATTACCCGAAGTGAGTATTGGTTAACACAATACATGTGTTTATGTAATAATTTGTCTTTCAATACAGAAATTGGAAACAACTTTTGTCTAAAAGAAAACAATTGGGGTTTTCAAAAAATTCTCTCATATCGAGTAATCATTTTAATTACTTTTAATTTTAATTATTTTATTAAATTGTTTATAATTTGTTTGTTTTTGTCGGTATTTAGGATGTATTGAATCGGGAAAAGGGTTTCATTAAAAATAATAAGATTATTGTGGAAGCGATGATCACCGCCGAAGAGCCCATCGGTGTGTTTCTGCCATCAAATGTGGAGAATTTTATTCAAAGCGTAAATACTTTTAATGAAAATAAAGTTTTAATTATTTTTAAACATTTGATTACTTTTATAGAAAGACGTGAAGTCTTATCCAGAATTGGCTTATTTTATGAACGAATCCGAGAGTAATGTTGTGTTCAAAGTGGAGGGCAAAGCCATTCCGGCCGTCAAAGAGTTGTTGTCCTTTAAAAGCGATTATTTTCGGTCAATGTTTTCGGGAAATTATACCGAAAGCAGTGATAAAGAGATTGAAATTCCGGACACGACTTGCAATGCCTTTAAAGTCATTCTTTGGTATTTGTATTCACAAGAATTGGTCATTGATTTGACTGAAGAGACGTGTTTTGAGTTCATGTACTCAGTCTATAGACTCGCCGATAGGTTTCAAATCAAACGACTTCTCGATTACTATGAAAACCAATTGAAAGCAAACATTACTGAAGAGAATCTCGAATTTGTCGCAAGAATTGGATTCGAGTATAAAATCAATTCTTTGATGACTTGTGTGAAGGCATTTATTAATAAAACATTTGATAAACTGATTCTCAAAGACAGCGATTATCTGAAGAAAATGAATGCCTTTACGAATGACTATTTGTTGGACAAAATGATACCAAAAGTGCGCAAAAGGGCCCGAATTGATGAGTCTTCGGAATCTTCTTAGTTATCAAATATACGGCATTTCATAACTAATTCACAACTAATTCTTCGTTTAATTATTGTTTTACTTATTATTTAAATGTTTTTTTATATCAAAATTTCTGGTAAATAATACACACATTTATAAGTAATACTAAATACATGTTTATTAATATTGTTATTATTGGTTTATTTCCTCGAGATATAGAGTTAAACATAGATTTAAATTATAATAATTATCTGAAACTCATTTTGTTTATCATATCTATGTTTATACTAAAGCCTTAATAAAAATTATTTTGCATTTAATTAAACTTCATGTAAACTATTGAGCGATGAATCGATTGATTAGTTTTCAATTCAAAAGGTTTGCATTAAAATAAGTGAAAATTAATACAATAAACGTTTTTAACATATTTTATATGTTTAAC